ATATATATACTCTTTAGATTGTCGTTTCTGGTTGTGGTACAATAGGTCTGGGTTTAATCGCTGCTATTGAAACATATTATCCAGATGTATCAATAATTGTTCTTGATTATTTTCAATTTAAACTTGATTTAGCTAAATCTATTGCTAAAAAATGTACAACATTTAATTTATCAGATAAAACAGTTTCTACAATAGCAGATATTGTTCGAAAAATGTCTGGTGAACAAAATGGTGCTGATGTATTTTTCGAATGTTCAGGTTCACCTGATTCCATTAAAGCTGGTTTTGAATTTGTTCGTAAATGTGGAACTTTTGTTCATATTGGAATATGTAAAGAAATACATGTTGATGCTCCATGGAATGCTATATCAGCTGGAAAAGAATTAACAATAATTGGTTGTAATTTAGGTCGACATGCTTGGCCACGTGCTTTTGAAATTTTAAAAAAATGTGATTTATCTCAAATGATTACACATAGATTACCTTTAGAAGAATATTCTAATGCATTGAATTTGATTAATTCTGGAATAAAAGTTGTACTTGATCCAACTCTTTCTGCACCAAAACTACTTAATGATTCAAAATCATTATTACCATTGATTAATAATAATGATGAACAATTCAAAATAAAAGATAGCATTGCATTTGTAACAGGTTCTTCTCATGGTATAGGACGTGCTATTGCTATTGCTCTTGCTAAAGAAGGTGCAAAAGTTATTATTCATGGTACAAATCATGATAGTCCAAGTTATTCAAATGAAGGTACTACAATGACAATTCTTGCTCAAGAAATATCAACGATAACGAATAATACTCAAATAACAGCTGTTTGGGGTGATTTATCAACAAAAGAAAGTGTTCAATCTGTTCTTAATCATATTAAATATCCTATTGATATTTTAATTTGTTGTTCTGGAGAACAAACAACATCTGAAGGTAAAATATGTAACGATACATGTTTAACAATAAGTGATTTCGATACAAAATTAAGTTTAAATAGAAATTTTTGGACAACACATCTTGTTTGTCAATCAATTGTTCCTCAAATGATTCATAATCATCGAGGTCATGTTATTATTATTGGTTCAACATCGGCTTTAATTGGTAGAGAAAAAGATGCGCTTTATACAGTATCAAAAGCTGCAGTTCATCAATATATGAGATGTTTAGCAACTGAAGTAAAATCATCAGGTATTAGAGTTAATTGTATTGCACCAGGACCAACTTTAATCGAACAATCTACACAAAATATTGGAAAAGAACAAGGTATTATCGGTAGACTAGAACATGTTGCTAATGCTGTTATTCACTTACTTAATATGGATTTTGTTCATGGACAAATAATTCGTGTCGATGGTGGAGAACAAACTTTTTCTTCTTAAATATTTTATTCATTTTATATACAAGCAATTACCTTAATATCTCAATAACGTAAATATCATGGAACTTGATTGTTTACTAATATGAAATTTATTTTTTTATATATTTATTTTTAATATTCATAAACTCAATAGGTTTTTAAAAATTTATTTTCGAATTAATTTATTCAATTAAAAAATAAAAGTCGAAAATTGTGACGATTCACAAGGAGATTAATCCATTACTATTCATTTCAAAATATAATGTACCCCACTGTTTTCTGAATAACTTTTGAAAGGAATATCATAAAAACCTACGATTTTCATCATTCAAGAGAGAAGATCAGAGGTCAGTTTGTGCTAAATGAATTACTTTTGTTGGAACATTTTGGTAGACTATTTGGATCAAAAATTACTGTTTGTGTGAATTTATACAATTGGACAAAAGCAGATATTTTAGGTTTTTCTCGGTAAATATACGATATATCGAAGAATGGTTTTAGCCATGTGATAGAGCTCGTCAAATTGACTCTAAAAAAAGGTCAAATCTGGATCTGCCATATCCTACGTTTTATTTAACCTGTTATCTCATTGGTTTATGCAATCGATCGATTTTCAAATATTAATGTTTAAATGTAATACTTGTTCCAAGCTTTAATTATGGAGTGTAAAGATTTAATATCGATCATTTTCAAATGTAGCACTTGATTATTGACTTGAATTTATCCATAGGCAAGATTTTGTGCTTATATGTAACATTGAAATATTTTTCTCGAATTATTATTCAATATTATTACAAAATATCAAAGATATTATGATATTAACAAACATATCTCTCCTAAGTAATATCATCGGATCTATGGTAGATTCGGACAATGATTTTTCTTTCATTTCAAAGTCAAAATCTCTCATTTTTTGTTTGTATTTGAACAATAATAAGGTAGAGCCCTGATCAATATTTACATTTTAATAAATAACATGAAACACATTGGCGAATTAATTCTGAATTTATTTTTATTTATTGTTTGATAATGCACATTATTTATGACAAATTAATGAGTATAAGACTGCTACGAAGAACATTGTTAGATTTTTAACAAAAATCACATTTATTTATTCAAGCTTTTGACAGATTACATCTGTCATCATCAAGAATAACGAAACAAAAAAAAACCAAGAAAAACTCTATATAGATGTATAGTTTATGACAAGAGAACAAAGAAATTAATTGATAGATAATTATATTTCGCGAATTAGAATTATCTATCAATTAATTTATTTATTCTCTTTGTCACAAACTATACATATAGATAGGGTTGTTCTTGCTTTTTTGATATTCCTGATCATGACAGATGTAATCTGTCAAAAGCTTGAATAAATTAATGTGATTCTTATTGAAAATCTAACAATGTTCTTCGTAGCAATCTTATACTCATTAATTTCTCGTTTACAATTTACTGTTCTTCAACTTCTTTACTTGTGCACATTATTTATACTACAAATTTATTTCGACTTAATTGATTGTTGAAAAGCAAAAGTTGAGACTAGCAGAATTGAACTTATCTTTTCTTCGCGAGATACATCGGTCTATTTTCGATTGAGCTTATTATTGTTATTAATTTTTTATTGCTTTTATTCAAGTCTTCTTTCTTTATACCTTACTATTATTGGTATTGCAGAATTATATACTTGAATGTATAATATTATATCCATCGATATATGTATATATTTATGTTGTATTTGTTTCAGAAATAAATAGTTAAGCAAAGGTCACAAGTGATATCTTTAACGTTGGTGATGATCATATTATTTAACTAGTAAAGGTCGAAAATTCATATTCATAAAATTATATTACACTGGATTATTATCATTAAACGGAAAATATTTTTTTTCCATCAGGATAAAATAGAAAATCAATGTAATGAAGTTAATTTTTTTGTTAGTAAACATTTTCTAATGATTGAATATCCATAAAGACGATTAGAGCTATATAATCAATAGTTCATACTCAACATTTTCTGTTCCGTCATCTTTATTTTTTTTCTTAATCTTATTTTCATAAATGATTATTTCTTTTATTGGTCACGCTTGTATATTTTCTTTCTTTTTTCCAAATATTTTCATGTTATATCAAATAAAAGAGTGAAATGAAAGTTAAAAATGGGTAAAACAAAGACAAAGGTATCCATGTGATATACATTAGGCACATAAACGAAGTTAAATAAAAAGTATGATCGATCGAAGAATACATCCCAACAGTTTAAAGAGTGTCAAGTTAAAACAGATATATGAAAAGATAACACAAGGTCAATGTAAACGTACATGAGTTCACTGAAGTAATTAATGCGTGAGTCAAAAGATCTGCATTAATTTTGTTTTTGATATAGTGCTGTAATGGAATCCCGTAGAGATTTTATCTTTTTTCTGTTAGAAAATGTAAAATGTCTAGTGCAAAAATCTACAAATGAATACTATTGAAAATGTTTGATAGAGACTACAGAAAGTTTAGAACGCAAAGTATTGAAAAATGATTTCGCAACTTTTTTTTAAACTTGGAAAAGATGTCATTTAATCTGACCACTTTTATTTTTACTCTTCTAATCCGAGTTCTACAAGCTATGGGTAGTGAAGTCTTGTAGCAGATAAAAAGAAGTCCTTTATATGTTTATAATAGTTAAAACGAACTCTTTAACGATGTTACCTAATGTCTACATTTTTTATCATGCTCGATTACAGTCGGAAAAATAAATTCTATTCGAATAGAGAGATTGTTAGAAATTATATATTCCATACGAAAATCAAAGCTTGATGAGTTCTCTATCGCACGATATTATTTGAAATAGAACACAGATTTTCTGTGTAATATTCAACCAAACATTTGTTTTCATATTGGAAATCATAAATCCATGAAATAAATTTTTTTAATTATATACTCTTCTGTTTATTCTCTTGTATGCTAAACCGATTGTTCTAATACTACATGAAAGACTTCTTTTTAATAAACAACTATATAGTATATGAAATTCTGAAAAACATCGCATAATGATGAAGAAAAAGCTCAAACAAATATTTTTGGATTACAATATTCTCACCAAAGTTGCGGAATCCTTTTTCAATACTTTCCGTTCTAAACTTTCTGTAGTCTCTATCAAACATTTTCAATGGTATTCATTTATATATTTTTGCATTAGACACTTTACTGTTTCTAACAAAAAAAAAAAAGATGAAATCTCTACAAGATTCTGTTATAGCGCCACATCAAAAACAAAATTAATGCAGAACTTTTGCCCCATCCGTTATATAGTAGATGTAATTAATTTTATCATTTATATTGATCTCTAGAACACACTGTGCTCTCTTCAATGTTGAAACTTGCTTCGATCATACTTTCAGAGATTCACTTAATCATAATTTTCAAATAGATTCCAATAAAACTGAATCATATTTACAAAACTCGAGTTAGATAATAGACAAGACAAATATCAAATGGCGATAGATATTAAATTTTTTATTGAAATTAAAATACAACATAAAAGGATATAATTAAAACCGAAATACCCTTATTTTAGTTTAAATTCTACATAGCTGAAAAAAAATCTCAATTAATATATACTAATTATACTTCTATTTCATATTCATCAATCACAAACTATGTTCGTCATATTGTCGATGTGGTACAGTACGCTGCTGTTCAACTCGTGTATTTTTTGTTCCTGTTGGTCTAATACGAGTTTGAATAACATGATTATTCCATAGCATACTCCAATTATTTGTTCGTAAACGTTGTTGTACCGCTGGCAAACCAACAAGAGCAATAAATGGTGAAGCAAGTGGACATATATAAAGACAATAATTAATTACAAGCATTATCGCATCTTGTAAAAATAATGGATCATAAAATAGACGAATAAGTGATATAGTGACAAATGGTATCCAAATAATAAAATACAACATTGAAATAGATACAAGTTGTACATACATCAAGCGATATTTTCTTCATGTATTTTGTAATTTCATTGCACGCTTTTGATATATGAAACGTATCAAAAGAATCATATTAGCCAATATTATAAAGATAGTAGGAGTGACTACATTAATAAAGTAATCTATAGTACTTATAATTGCTTGAAATTGAAAACAAGCACCTCCACAAACATGTGCATCATAAGAATAGACATTTTCACATGGATAAATATTGGCTAGTAAATTATAAAATATTAATGGATAAATAAAACAAATGAGAATTGAAGGATAATGAATAATAAAACACCATTGATGTACATATCTTTCATGAAAAATAGGAAAATATCTTTCAATAGATCCAAAAGCCATAAGAAACAAACCAGCAGCATATAAACCATAATTATAAGCCACCCAAAATGAATAAAACTGTTTACTTTCAGATATAACATGACCTTGATAAGAATAAACCAAAGCAATTGGTAATTCCGTAGTAATAAGAATGAAATTACAGAAAACGAGAACAACAACTACATGATTATGTAGATGTTTATGATTAATTTCACGAGTTTCCAATAAAAAGAAGAAAACAAATCAATGATGGAATTAAACAAATGAGTAAAAGTATGAAACGTATCAAACGATGTATGTATGCATCCATAGCACTGATAATATGTTAAAATGAACTGTCTTCTTTCGAATTACTGTAGACGACACTAAGGAAATCTGGATTAGATAAAGTCAAGATGTTGTAAAAAAGTTGAAGTTCGTGTAAATGAGAAAATATTTAATATAATTGGTATATAACATGAGTTTCAAGTGACGTACACTGATAAGGCATCTATAATTTTTCTTAACGATATTCCTATCATCTTAGGCACGTGAGTGTTTTTGATTAACAGAAAGAAAACTTCTAATGATAAGTCCGAGACTTTCATTGAAGTCTACGTGGTAGACATTGATAAGGAAATAGAATTTAATGTCAAAACTGTCATAATATTGTTTCAAAGTTTTCATTTAGATTAAAATGCTTATGCAAAATCACCGTCAAATGCATAGTTTTAGTCTATAAAAAAAAGTTGATTAATTGCTTTGCTAGTATTTTACATTACAGAATTACTAAAATTGATGAAAAATTCGACATCTGCTATTAAAAACTGCGTATATTAATTCTAAAAATCTATCAGAAAAGAATATTCTATGATTGATTTTTGCATCTTCTTACCAATCTATTTTATCCTTTGAAACGTTGGACTAACTTTTTTTTTCATTAATAATTCAAAATTATTTTCGAAAAAAAACCTATTTCTTTTTCTCGACTATTTTTCAGTTATTTGTTTTAGCGATTAAACTATAGTTCTTTAATCTCAAATTCAGGTTGAAAGTTTGATTTTATAATCATGTTGAAGTCATGACTTTCTACAATTGACCCTATTTTAAACAACAACAACAACAACAACAATTATTAACGAATGGAAATGATGGCTCGTCTTATCTTGACTTTTTTATTTATATTACTGTGGTGTATTTCTTATATTTTTCTTGTTTAAATGTTTACTTATACATATACCAATGTTCATTTAATAAATTGTTTTTATTCACGTAGTTATAAACGAAATGAAGATTGATTTACAAACTGAATGCTACTTAACGATGGTTTTGAACATGACAACTATCAGATGAGATGGTCAGAAAAAAAAAGTATACTTACTCATAGATGCTGGAACAGCTTATAATCCTTTGTCAAAGAAATCTGTCCATCATATTAAGAATGTAATGAATTACGGAGAAGTCAACACAAAAAAAGAAGATGAAAATGTTGATTTCAATATTGAAGGGGACGATAACATTGAATAACTTTCATTAAACACAAATATCGAAATCAGCACTTCTAGGCTTGATGATGAAAATGTTTGATAGACTTTAAAGATGTTATTTTTCTGTATGAATCCGTTGTCATCTATGTTAAACATTAAAATTTGAAAAGCTTACGTCGCAAATGTTTTACACATATTTTCTTTCAATCTTTTTATAGATTCAATTATATGATCTGTTAGTAATTTTATACTATTATATTGTCTAGCGTCCTCTAACACTCATTCAAATATGATGGTTCGTTTGAGGAGAAATGGTTAAACAAACTATTCTTCAATCTGAATTTCAGACTAAAGCACTATAGCAAAATTTATAATAATATTTTCCTATAATCAGAGAAACACAATCTTGACTGTATAATCTAATCAAAATTTAATCATGTGCAAAAATAGTATGAGATTGTTACATGACACTATTGAAAATTGTAATTATATTTATATATAAATAATCCATCAGAGAAGTTCTCCGAAAATAAATATTAATCCATTTCTTTATCTTTGATACATTTAGAAAAAGTTTATTGACATTTTGACCAAAATTATTATATATTAAAAAAAATGAATGACAGCAGGAAAAAAATTTTTATGACACTTAATTTTTACGAATAAATCAAAAGCCCTACGAGATTAAAGTGGAAAACATGATGTAGTTGGTGTTGTTAATCACAGGAAAATTATTCTATTCTACCGATTTTGGGATACACTTCTTCATCATCCTTTCGAAATACAACAAGAAGACGTAGGTCATATATTATAATAAGACGTTATTCATACACGGTCTGTAATTGTATATCAACAATATCTGTCATAATTTGTGACGCGGATAGAAGAGCGTTGTTTAGACATTTGTCGTGATCTGTAATGAAGGATATACGTTGCTAGAAATGTCAGTTACGTATATGACATGTTATTGTTAAAATGTCTGTTATGATCTGTCGGAGCTACAAATTTCTACCCTATATACTTCAACGTTCCTTTTAGATCATATTTTAAAAAATCTTTCAGTCCAGTTACTTCATTCTTTATGTAAAAAAAAAGATCTGATAGAAGAACAAGTCTTTTTTTGTTCTTAGTTATATTCAATATTGAACAAAGAAATATCTAGAGATCGTATTTTTAATAGTTTCAAATCCTTTATAAATTTCAGTACTGCTCAATTAATTATTTATGAGAATATATTTAAAAAAGAACAAATCTGTGAGCAATGTTCTTAAAACAAAATTCAACCATACAAATTTCATATTTACAAAATGCCTGGAAAGATTACAAATAATAAATGTGGCAATCTTTCAAAACCATTTACGTTTTATTTATTTATACATAATTGACAGAAGACTTTCATTTTATTTTGGAAACCATATAAAAAATGGATCTATTTGTCTTAACATAAAACTATCGTTATATATCATACGATTAATCTTATTAATCAAACTAGTTCTATTGTTTTAATATTAACTTTAAACAACATTTTATTTTTCTAACGTCCATTACAGGATTTTTTTTCTCTTCACATTTATTGACAGCACAATGTTTGGCGAAGTATCCGAAGGCGACAACATATAAAATACAAGAAGAAAAAAAAAACGTTTTTTTTAAATGTTTCTATAATGCTCCCTTTCATTTCTCTATCGGCATTAAAATACATTATCGTCAACAATGTTGTTTTTGTCATCATTGCAGTTTGGTAGCGTCTATATAAGAGTTTCTGTTATTTTTTTTTTGCTTTTATAATTGTGCACACAACTGCACGAAAGCATAAGCATAGAAAGCAACTTAACATTTTGCAATCATATGTTAATGAACATGAGTACAACAGCTTCTCCTACACTTGAACAACCAGCAAGAAGTCAAACAGCTGATACATCTTCGAATAGAAGACGACATCAATCTGCTAATAACAAACAAGCAACATCTCGAACATTATTTGCTTCACCATCTCGTGCTAGTAGTTCATTTCGTCATAATAAATTATATCGTGGTCCACCAACACCACCACCTGAAGTTCAATTTGATCTAGAACGAAGTTTTATTCTTGATTCTAAAGCTGTATCGAATATTTCTAATGATTATTCAGTAGCTAATCCTAAATTAGGTTCAGTAATTCCACCATATAATGCACAATTAGATCATCATGTTGATAATTATTTTAAATTTTTTGGTATACGAAAAACATTAGAAGGATCGGGACAAGTATAGAATATATTTTCTTTAGTAAAAAAATATTAGAAATTGAATTTTTCTTATTTAGTCAGCTGCTCATGAATCAGTTGCAGGTCGAGTACATGATCGATTTTATACAAATGGTCATGGCTATCGTTATTTGTCACTTCGAAATAAATTTGGTTCAGGTGAAGTAAAAAACAAAAAAAAAAAAACTAAAAACAAAAACAGCAATTAACAACAATTGATATTTTAGGTCATTCGATTGATGAAATTCGTGGTCATGAATTATTTTTAAGTGATCCTAAAGCTGTTGTTAATTATAATGGACTTTTCGGTATGTTATTAAATGATAATAAACAAAAAAAAAGAAAATAATTATTTGTTTAATTTTCCTATTGAATATAAAAAGGTTATCGTCGTAATACACCATCACTTCGTCGACAACCAACAATTGGTACAACAAAACTTGATGCTAATGGTTATATTCCTGTTGGTCGTTATTCAGTTATTGGTTGTGGTAAATCATATGCATTCCATTGCCAATGTAAATTTGATCAACCATGTCGATGTCATAATCAAGCGAAACTTTGTCCTTGTGTTAAAGTATAGATATTATAAAAAAAAAACATAAATATGTATCTAATATTGATTATGATATATGAGAAATTATAAATAGATTTTGCATTTGATTTTTCTCCTATACACAATTTTTCATCAACTTCCGAACGACATTCATCTATTCCATTACAACGAGCATTTGCATGTACACAATAAGAATCACCACAATCAATAAGATGTTCCATTGGACAAATAAATAAACCATCATTCAAGCCAACATGTATTTTTGGAGTAAATGTTGTAAAAAATAATTTAAATTGATGAAAACTATCATCATAATCACTAGTAAAAGTTGGTGGTTGAATAAATTCAAGATAAATTATATTACTATTAGATAGATAATCATCAGATTGATGATTCAATGAT